AATAAGTCAATCAGGTTTTCTTTTCTTGTGTCCTTCCTCCTTTTTACCTTTTCTTTCAAACAGAGACATTGTGTTCTCAATTTTTTAATTGTTTTTGTCTGTACTGAGGCTTGAACTCAGGGCTTCAGACTTGCTTGGCTTTGTGCGCTGAAGTCTGGTGCTATACTCTTAAGTCACAGCTCCACTTCTGAGTTTTTGCTAGTTAATTAGAGATAAGTGTCTCAGGGATTTTTCTGCGTAGTTTTTAATCTTAATCTTCAGATCTCAGCCTCCTGAGTAGTGAGGATTACAGTCATGAGCCACCAGTGCCTGGTTTATGTTCCCAATCCCAGTATACTCCTAGGTTAATAATATGCATGCAACAAATATTCAAGAAAAATCTGAGTGAACTTCAAACCTGACGTTTAACTTTTAGAAAAATTGAGGGCTTTTCCTCCTCCTTTAATTTTTGGTGTGGTTGGATATGCAGGGAAGAAGGAGAGGAAATTCCTTGTATTTTATACAAATAGTATTGCTGAAAACTGAAAAAGAAGCCAAAGAACTATGTATAGTCTGTTTTCCTTTTTCTAGTGATGTATAAAATCACACTTTAAAACCAAATAGAAGAACTTATTTGTGGAAGACATTAAGATCTCAGAACTTAAGCTTCAGGGAAGTAAAGAGGCTTGCCCCAGGTCACTTAGCAAGAAAATAACTATGATTCCAGCTCTGTATCATGTCCACAATTAATACACTACTTGAGAATTGAGCATACTTGAACACAAACTGAGAATGGCCCCTAAGAGAGCAATTCTTTGTAAATCAAGGTGACAAGCACATTTTGATGAGTTTTCTATAGACTTCTCAAAAACAAATCAGCTGAGAAAAATCCAACCCCCAACTTAGAAAAAGATGGTGATAAGCAGCCTTTCTTAATAACCATGCCCTTCTCTCATGGCCTTCCTTGGCTCTGGCTTCCTCTCTGAATTCCAGCTTATAACTAAATGGGTTGCAAGTGTCTCTGCCAGGGAAAGAGGTCCTGATGGGCATATCAAAGAGGTCTTCACCTGCCCCTTGGATCAACTGAGTGAAAACTGCGGTGCACTGGGAGTCATCTGAACTGCCTGGGAACAGGAACAGGACATGGAGGCTAGTGGAGAGACCATACTCCAGGTCTGTGGTAAAAGATTGGGAAACTTTGTCTTGATTTTCCTGCAGTGGAAGAGTAAGAGTGTTGTGGTTGTTACTCCATGGAGGAATGTGTTTGTGGCTCTTGGGGGAAGAATCAGATTTAGCTGTACCTTGCTTGAATACCTAGGCCCTCAAAGTTGTATCTCTAAGAACTGGCATAAAGCTAGCTCTCAAAAAATGCTCAATGACAGTTTAGGCAGGAAAATCTGTGAGACTGTCATCTCCAACTAGCCATCAAAGAGGTGGAAATGGAGCTATGTCTCAAGTAGTAGAGCACCAGCTTATTGTACTTTAGCAAAAAAATTAAAGGGCAATACTGAGGCACTGAATTCAGGCACTGAGTTCAAGCTCCAGGATTGGCACAACAAAGTTCAGTGAATTAATAAAAGAATGCTCATAACCACTAATATTGTATGTATATAAATCTTCCTGTGTTTAAAATACATTACCATCCACATGAATTTTACAAAGATCTTGAAAGATGAAGGCACATTCCCAAAGTTATAGTAGCAACACTAACTCTCAGGGTTCCTGATTCCATTATATCTTAGTTTGTTCCTCCTGTTATAAAAAAATATATGAGACTGGGTAATTTATTTTTTTTCAGAGGCTGAAAAAAGTCTAAGGCAACAGCAGATTCACTATGTAATGAGCTGCTCTCTGCTTCCAGGATAGCATTTCTTTTCTTTTCTCCTTTCCTTCTTTCCTTCCTTCCTTCCTTCCTTCCCTTTTATTTTATTTTTTATTGTTATTATAAAAGTGATATACAGAGGGGTTACAGTCATATAAGTCAGGCAATAAGTACATTTCTTTTTGGACAATGTTACCCCTTCCCTCACTCTCTCCCACTTTTTCCCTTCCATCCCCACCCACAAGTTGTACAATACATTTTCAACATAATGTTTAGTGAATACCATTGCTGCATTACCTTCCTTCCTTCCTTCTTTCCTTCTTTTTCTTTTCTTCCTTTCTTCCTTCATGTCTTTCTCTCATTCTTTCTTTCTTTGTGTGTGTGTGTCAATACTGGGGCTTGAACTCAGGGCCTTCTGCTCTCTCTTACCTTTTTTTGTTCACAGCTGATGCTCTATCACTTAAGCCATACCTTTACTTCCAGTTTTTTGCTGATTAATTGCAGATAAGACGCTCAGGGACTTTTCTGTCCAGTTGGGCTAATTCCAATTTATCAATCACTAATCTTACTCCTTGATTAGAGTGAGGCTTCCATTGCTTAAGCAACTCTTAAAAACTCTATCTGTATACTATCTGTATACTGTATTTATTGTTCAGTTTCACTGTGTATTTTGGAAGAGACACAAAAATTCAAACCCCACTTGCACCTCTTAACATGTCTTATGGATTGTAACACCTACACCTATCTATGTGTACCACTTTTACTAGATATTTTTGGAAAGATCATTTTTTTTCTTTTACATTAGCATATGTTAATTTCAGAAAGGGGTTTCATTGTGATATTTCTACATATGCATATAATATACTTAGATAAATTTAATCTTCTTTACTTTATCATACTTCTCTCTAACAATCTTAATTTTTCATTTTTTGCTTCAATTACTCTAATTTTATATATATATATGAAGTTCTTTGATCATATAAATTTTTGAACAAAATGTCCTTTTGTCCTCCTGCTGGCTCCCATTCCCAGTCCCCTGTTTTGCATCCATGCCATTCTTATTTATTTAAGTCTACATTCAGGACATGAATTTGTGACATTTGTTCTAGTCCAGCTTATTTCACTTGGATATTATTTTCTACAAGTGAGGGTTATTAAATGTTGCAGTGGTATCCAAAGATGTCAGAGAACAAGGTTCTGATTGTGGCACACACCTATAATCTGAGCTACTCATTAAGCTAAGATCTGAAGATCATAAGGCTGTGATCTGAAGATCACAGTTCGAAGCCAGCTCCAGCACATAAATCCTCAGGAATCTTATCTCCAGTTAACCAGTAAAAAGATACAAGTGGAGTTGTGGCTCAAGTGGTGGAACACCAGCCTTGAGCAAAAAAGCCAAATGAGAGCTGGAGGCTATGAGTTCAAGCCCTAGTACTGGCAAAAAAAAGAAGGAGAAATAAGAATCATGTGAATTTTGTCAAATTTTAGGGCTCTCAGTGGTCTCAGGGAACTGTAGCTTGAAAAAGATATGGCCCCATGATTGCTTCCAGACTAAGGATTACAGTCTCTGAAAGGTATGAAATCAAGTGGATTTAGAATAAGGGTCTTTGGACCCCTTAGGTAGACCTTCAGAGCAATAAGGAACCGCAGGCAATCAGACTTGTAATTCCTTACCCTTATAAACCAGTAATTTATCGATAAGAATAAACAGCTGACTTTCTAGCTGGGCGCCTGTAATTCTAATACAGGAGGCTGAGATCTGAGCATTGTGGTTTGAAGCCAGACCAAGAAAGATACATTGAGAGTCTCTTATTTCCAATTAACCAGAAAAATGCTAGAAGTGAGGTATGGCTCAAGTGACAGAGTGCCAGCCTTGAGCAAAAAAAGAACATCCAAGTCCTGATTTCAAATCCTAGTACCAACACACACATACAAAGCTAACTTTCTCATCATTCTAACTCCATCAGGAAGCTAACAAGATCTTTTCTCTTTTGTATTAATCTCTTTTCTTAAAGCAAGTGCCTATCCTTACACCTTTGCAGGAGCAATGATTTGAACTATTTAGAGACAAAGATGTTAGGAGCCTCCTTTAAAACAGGAGCGCTGGCAAATGGAGCTTGGCAGGTGAAGAAATAAAGGAAATGTGGGTTAGTTGGTCTGATTCATGTGATCCTCTGTAAGCTGAGCAGGTCCAACCTCCTCCAAATGTATGATGCTCTGTGTCTGTCTCAATACTCAGCTTGATGGGGTAGGAAGACAGAGACAACTTGGTGGTAGCTTATTCCACCTGAACCGTCAGGAACAGGACAATAGTTAGTCTCCAGAGGATTGGCCTCTTCCAGAGATAGAGCTTTGCTTTAGTTCAGAGGTAGAGAAAGGGGTAGAAAAAATGCCAGCCTTGGGTCCCAGGCACTCCATTTTGGAGTTTCTAGCCAGATGCCCAGTGTGTGTGTGTGTGTGTGTGTGTGTGTGTGTGTGTGTGTGTGTGTGTGTTGGTCTTGGGGCTTGAACTCAAAGTCTGGACACTATCTTAGAGCTTGTTTTGTTCAAGGCTAGAGCTCTACCACTTGAGCCACAACTGCACTTAGGGCTTTTTGTTGTTGTTGCTGTTAATTGGGGATAGGAGTTTCCTGGGACTTGGCTGCCCAGGGTGAATTTAAACTGAGACATTCAGATCTTAGCCTTCTGATTAGCTAGGGTTACAGGCATGAACGGCCTGAGCCTGGCCAGATGCCCACTTTTTGTAAATTCCCTCCAGCCTGATCGGCAGCTAAGGTCCTTTTTTGTGCCAGGCACCTGTTCGAGGCAGTGGGGACTTAATGGAGAATTCGCACAAGGCTCCAGTTATTTATGTGTACCCAGTTGTGATGCACCTCTGCAGAGCCTAGATCTGTGTGATTGCTTCTTTCTTGAATCTCAATTTCTCTCGCAGCTTCCTAATTAATTCCAAGCAAATTCCCAGAAGCACAGGACTGGAATAAGCCAGTTTCCTTACGCCCCCTTCATCGCCCTCCCCCCACCGCGGCTTCCTGGCTAGCTGCTGTGCGGCCGACCGTGGTAGGCGGAGGTGGGTGGGACGCTGTGACCTGATTTCATTCGCCGAGCTTTTCGGTTCGCGGGAGCACAAGCCCACGTGACCACATTTTCCTAAATAAAGTTGAACAGTTCTAGGCTGCACTCAGTTGCTGAGGGAGAAGATATCATCAGTGAGCTTCTCGCTGCAGTAGTCCCCACCTGGCATCTCGCCCCCTGCACAGCCCTGAATCGTAGAAACAGCGGCATCACTCAGAGATCAGCTCCGTGAACCGCCCAGGTAGGGGTGGGGTGGGGGAGTCGCGCTCACACCCCGTGCACTGCACCCTCATCGTTGGATGGATCAGTGGAAGAAAGGGTCGGTGGGTGGCTGCTAGGGCTTAGGCACTAGTGAATAGAGCTGGGCTGGGGGAAATGGAAGTGTCAAATGAAAGAAAGGGTCCACGTGTGAGCATGCACTTGTAAGGACGGGCGCGGCTCGTGTTCCTGGGTCCTGCTGAGTGCAGGAGGCTTTGAGGAAGGCGTTACGGACCCCAAATGGGAAAAGTGTGGAACCTGAGAGCCTAGGGTTCCTCCCTCACCCCGCCTCAACCTTGCGGTGTAACCTTGAGCAGAGAGTTATTTAATCTCTCCCTACCTGACTTTCTCTATATGCAAAAACTGATTTGGGACTCCCGCCATTCTAGCTAGTAACGTATCTGGCGCGGGGGGAGGGGGGGTTTGGAAGAGACAATGGCGGAGAGCTTGGCGCACCTGGGCTGAGGGCTGTGGACTTCAGGCATAAGAATAGAGTCCTCGAAGTGACGGGCGGAGGCTGCCTCAAGAGGACGTGTACGATCTGTGGGGGCTGAGTTGCAGGGCTCATTCCGGAGGCGTGCACCCCTAAGCACCTGTGCGCAGATTCGTCTGTGGCTTTGGACACAGCTGGGGCCTCAAGGCATTCTGAGGCCGCTGCATTCTTCCAATTTAGACTAGCGTCCGAGACAAATTCCTATGCCCTACCGGTGGCAATGCGACCCCGACTCATAATATATGGCTCCCTAGATCGCCGGGTTCTTCTGGGGGCGCCCCCTCCCACAAGATGCGCCTGCTCTGGATCACTGCGGGAAAAGGAGGGGGCATGGAAGAGCAGGAAGAAGGGACAGGGAAGAGTGATGTGTGTATGTGGTGTGTGTGTGTGTGTTTGTTGGGGATAAGGTTGTTTACAACAGGGGCTTCATTCCTAGGGATTTACCACATGCCTTGGATGAGAACTGAAATATTAAACCTGCATTCTTAGTTCAAACAAGCCCCCTCTACCCCGATGCTGTTGTTGCTGTTGTTGGGGAAGAGCTTATGGAAGCTGAGAGACCACACCCTGGATGGAAAGGGATGGGCAAACAGGTCACTAAACCTCCTGGGGATCAGTAGTGACTGTCCATCTAGCCCAGTCTTGCAAGTGCTTTGGACCAAGAAGTGGGGGAGGGGAGACACATACTCAGGCAGAAGATGGCCCCTAATCACTAACTCTGTTCTGAGCTGGCAGCTCTTTGTGACCGCAGTGACAGTTGCACTACTTGAATGGCTAAGAAGATGAAAACCTTAAGAGAGAAAAGTCCCTCAGCCTCAGCTTTCTGCATTAGGATGTAGGTACCACCAGGGGAGGATACCTACCTGTCTACTCTTTCTAGCATTGCATTTTGAAATGCCATCGCCCTTTGAGGAGTAATTTCTCTCACAATATCCAAGATAACCAATTCTCATCAACAAGTTTTTTTTTTAATTTTAATTTATTTTTTGGTGCAGGTACTATGACTTGGACTCAGGCCTTGCACTCTGATTTGTTCTAGCAACTTGAGCCACACCTCCACTTCTGGCTTCCTGCTGGTTAAGAGACAACAGTTTCACAGACTTTTCTGCCCAACCTACCTTCAAACTATGATTCTCAGATCTCAGCCTCCTGAGTGGCTAGGATTACAGGCAGGAACCACCGGTGCCCAGCTAACAAATCACTATTAATGACCTCAATCCTTTTTTTTTTGCCGGTCATGGTCCTGAACTCTGGGCCTGGGCACTGTCCCTCAGCTCTTCAGCTCAAGGCTAGCACTCTACCACTTGAGCCACAGCACGACTTCTGGCTTTTTCTGTTTATGCGGTGCTGAGGAATCGAACCCAGGGCTTCATGCCTGCAAGGCAAACACTCTACCACTAAGCCACCTTCCCAGCCCAACCCCAATCCTTACAGGAGGTGACATGAGATTTATAGAAGTAAAACCCTCTCTGTGAGGTGGGATGGTGGGGTCAGATACATGTGTAATGCTAATATATACAAACAGAGATGGAGCCACTTACTCTCCCTAGGCAACTTTCACTATATCTGTGTAAATTGAAGATTTAGATTTTGAAAAGCTGTATGGCTCAGTGATCATAAAAGACAAATATACACAATTTTGAACTGATAGTTCATGATACAGCCAGAAGATAATTAACTGCTAAATCATTTTGTGGAGTTAAAACTGTCACCTATCACTTCTCACTCCCTGTCACTTAATAGATTGCTTTTTCACTTGATTTCTCCTTCCTCAAGACAGATTAAAATGGAAATGAATGCATAGCAGCATAATCCTGGTCAGAGGAGAAAAGTAATCTATTAAATCAATTTCTCTAGACACAAGCAGGAAATAGCTCTATAGATTGTCTTTGGAGAATAAAGAAGCAACAATAATCTTAAATGTGTGGTTTTTCATAGATTATCCCAAACCATGTCCCTGCAATACAACCTTCTAATGACTCCAAGTGGAAAGGGGCATGGAAGTAAATAGTGTTCCCTAAAAACTTAATGCTTTAATGTTTGGCTGCATTGAGGATAGTGGTGGTTTTATTTGGATGTTAATAGCTTCTTCTTTTGAAAAATCTTTTTAGATTCAAACTAGGTAGAAGACATTTGATATTCCCATCTTTGCTAAAATAAAATTCACATACACACATACACAGACAGGACAACAACTATTGTTACCAACATATACAACAGAGAAAGGGTTAGGCCATTTGAATTACTATTCCTGGACTGCTGCCATTTTTTTAGTCCACAGCAGAAAATCTATTAACAGTATGAGAGATACTTTTCTTGGGAGAGGGGAATAGTGAATATGGAATAGAGGAGAAATTGAAAACCAGAAATTGATGACCAGACCAGATCCTCAGACTCAGTAGTAAGTGACCAATTTCTCTCTCTCTCTTTCTTTCTTTCCTTCCTTTCTTTCCCTTCCTCCCTTCCTTCCTCCCTTCCTTCCTCCCTTCCTTCCTTCCTTCCTTTCTTTCTTTCTTTCTTTCTTTCTTTCTTTCTTTCTTTCTTTCTTTCTTTCTTTCTTTCTTTCTTTCTTAATTTCTTTCTTTCTTTCTTAATTTCTTTCTTTCTTTTTCTTTCTTTCTTTCTTTCTGAGTTCCTGGAAGATGATGCTGTTAAAGACAAAATAAACTTGAACATGTCATATTGATGCTAATGGACTCCAGCATTTCATAATGGCACTCGAAGTAGGGTACTGCAGCCAAGAGGTTCGGATCCTCACCTGCATTGGTAGCTGAGTCACTCTAGACTGCATGAGGGTGGGCACACACAGGTACTTAGGTTTGATGAAATTTTGTTGAATTGACTTGAGTTCAAAGGAAGAGTGCCTGGAATTGACATAGAAATAATTCCATCTGGGGTTTGTCTTCTTGAACTTTACCTTGAGCTTTATCTAGATAGTATGTGGACATAATGAAATCGCTAGTTGCTTTATCTAAACTTTCATTTTAAGTTTACTCTACTTATAAACACATACTGAGGGACTTAATGGAGGTAGGAGAAGGAACTCTAGATTGATTATCCTTTTGTGGCCTACTCAAGTATATTAATAAGTATACATTTATTATATATATGTTAATCATATGCTTGGAGGGTCAAGAGGGGAAGGGTAGAGGATGGCTATAGGAATAGTTGTAAAGGTTATAAAGATTTGTTATTGAAGAATCTTTGCTTCTGGGTGCTGGTAATTCACATAGTAATCCTCAGTAGGCTGAGATCTGTGGATCACTGTCCAAAGCCAGGTTAAGCAAGAAAGTCCATGCGACTCTTATCCTCTTATCTCCAATTAACCAATATTTTAAAAAGCTAGAAGTGGAGATGTGGCTCAAGTGATATAGCAACAGCCTTGAGTGAAGAAACTAAAGGACAATGTCCAAGACCCTAATACTGGCACTAATAATAATAATAATAATAATGAACCCTTGCCAGAGAATATCTCTTGCCCTGGTTGTCAAGGTATTCCACATCCTCCTTGACCCATTCTAAATCCTTAACTTATGACTACCTAGCTGCCAAATGATAATCACTTTGAAAATACCAAATATGCCTCATATATTCCTAGCTGGACCCTGAGCTTTAAAAAATAAAACTAAGAGTGTTTTATGAAATGGTTCAAAGCCTCTTCCAATTCTGGCAGGATTCTATGATTTGATGAAAATATAAGGTGTATCTCCAAAATACACAGACCTTTGATGAAAATCTCTTAGATTCTTAGACTCTTAGATCTTATATATCTCCAAATACACAGATCCTTTTAGTGCAGGCAGATAACAAAGGCCTGGAAGAGGGTTGATATTCTTTAAAACTATCTGGTTTGGAGAGAAGCAATATGTGGAGTTCTACTACTTTCCATCAACTGCCAAGCCAAGGAAAGAAATAGGTGAGACTTCATTTTTGCCCAACTGTCTAGAGACATAAAACCAGAAACTTAACAGGCAGCAGTGGCTCACATCTGTAATCCTGTCTACTCAGGATGCTGAGTGCTGAGGTTTGCAGTTTGACAAGTCTAGGTAACGAAATCCAGAAGTGGAACTGTGTGTGGCTCAAGTGGTAGAGCACCAGTCTTGAGTGAAAAAGCTAAAGGACTGGACCCAAGCCCTAAGTTCAAGCCCCAGTACTGGCATACACACCACATTACCTCCCCAATACACACAACCCCTCCCCCCACACACACACTATCAGGCACTTTATGGTAAAATCTGTTGAAATGTAATCAACTGAAATACACACTTCTCTCTCAAAAGCTGAGCTTATCTTTGCATTTTTTAGGTTCAATTTGGGTCTTTTTTATCTCCAAACATTTACATAATCATCATAGTGTTCAGATGTGAGTGTAATAAACCCACATTCATTCCTCAAGGGATTGTCAGAAGCTTACTTTTTCAGTTTTGACATCTACAAAAAGTAATAAGTCACTCAAAAGTGGACATTATTGTCAGCTTAATCTTGGAGTCATTAGTACAAGCATCTTTCTGCCCATTTCTGTGATTGGGAATGCTATGTAAAATTTGGACAGTAGAAATTTGTCTTATGACTTTGACATTTGGCTGTTTTTAATTTATATTTTTACTATCTTATGTCACTGCCTAATGGTCTGATTTCTCATGTATTTGCACCCAGATTTTCTATCCTGTCTCTTTTTACCAAAATGTATCATATTTCCTGCCCGGAAACTTCTCTAAAATCCAGCATTTAAACTCTCCTGGAAGTTAACAGATCGCCAGAGCATATGTGCCTCTGATTAGGGAGAAGAGCTAATTTACCTCTTTTAATAATAATAGTATGTCAATTTATAGTAAACAGAAATGCAGTAAATCTAGATAGTACTTAACATCACAGTTAATTAGTAAATACATAGTTCTTTGGTACATGGAAGGCTAGGCCGCAGACTTCCATTAAGAAATTAATTGCAAGGGGTTGGGAAGGTGGCTTAGTGGTAGAGCGCTTGCTTTGCATGCATGAGGCCCTGGGTTCGATTCCTCAGCACCACATAAGCAAAAAGAAAAAAGCCGGAAGTGGCGCTGTGGCTCAAGTGGTAGAGCTCTAGCCTTGAGCTGAAGAGCTGAGGGACAGCGCCCAGGCCCAGAGTTCATGCCCCATGACCAGAACCCCCCCCAAAAAGAAATTAATTGCAATTACAGTATATGTAATTATTCCACAGAGGTTACCACTCAGGATGCCCCAAATTTAGATGGAGCTAAAGAGCAGTTTTAGGGTTTGTTGTTAATGAAAACAGTAGTATAGAAGTAAATTTTTTGAAATGTAAAAAATACTTTTTTTTTTCTGTCCTTGTTTCAGCATTTTGTTATTCCTCTTCCCCTAGTAAAAAGTATTTTATAGTTTTGTGTGTGTGTGTGTGTGTGTGTGTGTGTGTGTGTGTGTGTGCGCGCGCGTGCATGCATGTATGCATGTATGTATTTGTGTGTGTGTGTGCTGGTACTGAGTGCTGTCCCTTAGCTTTTTTACTCACGGCTGGTGCTCTACCACTTGAGCCACATTTTCACATCAGGCTTTTTGTGATTAACTGGAGTAATAGTCTCATGGACTTTACTGTCTGGGTTGGATCCTTAGATCTCAGCCTCCTGAGTAGCTAGAATTACAGGCATGAGCTTCAGGATCTTGGTTTGTAAATTATTTTAATAATTTTCCCATTGTTCTAAATTAACTCTATAATTTGTTCTTGTACTCAAACTAGACAGTGAAGGGAAATTACTTTAGAAAATATGATGAAAATATAGTGCCATTATATGCCACAAGATACACTGAATTAACATTTCCATGATGTTATACATTGTTTTTCAGATAATTGATCTTTTTAATATTCATTTTCACTTTACTTTTAATTTTTTAATGAAAAATAATACATCTTGCAAAGAGCTACAAATATGATGAAATGGATTAATATGATACTAGTTACATTTGCAAAATTCATGTGTATATTAGGGCAGTTCCATCCACCTGTTGACATCCACTGATTTCTTTCTTCCTCAGTGCAGTTGAGTGGTCCACATGGCCTTTACTTTCCATGACCCTACACTTACATTATTATTATTTTATTATTATTTATTTATTGGCATCATCATCATCATCATCATCATCTTTTTTGTGCCCATTCTGGGGCTTGAACCTGAGTTTTTGTGCTCAAGACTAGTGCTCTACTACTTGAGCCACAGCTCCACTTCTGGCTTTTTTGGTAGTTAATTGGAAAATTTAGCTAGTTCAGATCTTTACTAAATGAAAGCCATTGTGAACCAAATTACTTTTCTAAGTTCCTTACATTATTAAATTATATTATATTTCTACAACATTAAAAGTGTTTATTATTAAAACACATAAGGATGTGAGAACTAACACCAAAGAGGAGACATGTCTTTTTTTTTCTTATAATGTTACTAATAGTCCTTGCTCCACACACTAAGTTTGGGTCTTGTGTGTGTTGCAATCACTCTTGGAACTTTAATAACTTCTGTGTCCAGTGATTAATAGAAGCTTGACTCTATTCGTTTTGAACCCAGCTCCTGTAGCAGCATACTGGAGATTGCCATCATATTCCTGAAGAGAGAATCAATTCTTCTTTCAACCATCTTAAAGCCAAGAACGGTGATAGAATTTTCATTACCTTTTCTTCTTCAATGAGATCACCCTTCAATTTAGGATTCATGCCTGCCTTCTGGACTTCTGAGGACTATAAGAATGTTGATAAAACAAACGCAACCATTCAAGCTGAGGCTGCCCATCTGGAAGCACCTCTCTCCTCCACTGTGGCCCTGATAATAGTGCTCATAATTATTTTCTCATTGGTAATGACCTCCTTTGTGACATACTGTTTCCATAAGTGGAAGCTGAGGGGCCGCAAGCTGCAGCGAGCCCAGGAAGAGTATCAGAGAGATCAAGAGAAAAGTATCTTTCATAGCCCTCCGGATCTGATTTCCTAGAAAGGTAGTAAACTGACAATTGAAGGGTGCCATCTGAAATGAAGCAACAAGTCAAGAAAGAACCATAAATGAAGTGACATGAAATCAAAAGAAGTTATACATGCAACAACGAAAAGTGAAACATGAAGGAAAACCATGGGCAGCAAAATAATCAGAAATGAAGGGAGAAAAAATTAATTTTTTAATGAACTCTGAGAGAAAGGGTTCATGATGTAGTTGATCTGTTAATCAAGCTGATCATTGTTTGAAAGCTACCAACAATTTCATTATTAATTACAAGTAATTTGGTGGTAGGTTTTGTTTCATTTTGTTTTTCAGTGTAAGGGGAAGCAAAGTAATATATTTTACATTTACATTTTACTTACCACCAACTTTTGATTTGATAATGATTGATAAGTATCGAAGTTGGCCAGGTGAATACACAGTAGAGAATTTTGTCTAGTGTAAGCCGTATAATGTGGTAGTTTATTTCCTGGCTAGTAGTATTTGTAGTAAAGTTAAGAAAAAGAAAATTAAAAAGCTTCCAATCATAGCACATGTAACTGATATTGTAAGTACTGACTGCAACAAAATAACTTAGATGTGTTGAAACGTAAACAGTGTGTTTCATAAAAAGGAGATAAAAAGAAAATCAAATTCCAAATAACCAAAAATCATTTTCCTGAAGTTTTGCTTTAGTTATGGATTGCTTGCAATTAACATTAATTAATGTTATATATGTGTAAAGCAAACTTCTTTCCTGGTAATAGTGCTACATTTGTATACTTGTTTTGGTGAGATGCAGTAGTAATTATCATATGAATGAGACAGTTAAAAAAGTCTATGCTATTTAAGTAGTGTGATAATTAAAGTGTGAAGTTTTCTCGGATGTTGTAAATGAAATCCATTAAATGAGATAAATGTATTTTAGAATGCATTGTGGAACATATCAGTCAATGAATGTAAAAGCAAGTACTGTCCTTTGTAGCTCAATAAATATATACATTAAAAATAAAATGCTGGGCTTGGGAATCTAATAAGAACTAATACCTTGAGTTAAAAATATTTTTTATTGTTTTAAAGTAGTGAAGTTCTGGTGATTCAGGCAAATGGTAAAGTGATTTCTGCATCAAATACCTGGGAAAGGAGGAAAATAGGTGGTATGAAATAGAAGCAAAGCAATTTCTAAAAGACAAATCCAATGTGTGTGTGTGTGTGTGTGTGTGTGTGTGTGTCTGTGTCTGTGTCTTTGTGTCTGTGTCTGTGTCTTTGTGTCTGTGTGTCTGTGTGTGTGTGTGTGTGTGTGTGTGCACACGTTCACTGGCTGATATTGGGACTTGAACTTGGGGTCTTGCACTGCCCTTTGCCTTTTTTCACTCAAGGATAGTGCTCTACCACTTGAGCCCCACTTCTATTTCCAGCATTTTGCTGGTTAATTGCAGATAAAAGTCTATCAGATTTGTCTGCCTGGGTAGGATTCAAACCATGATCCTCAAATCTCAGCCTTCTGAGTATTAAGGATTACAAGTTTGAGCCACTCAACAGTATTTTTTGTATGCCAGTACTGGAGATTGAACTCAGGTCACCCTCAACTTTTGGGCTCAAGGCTGGCTCTATACCACTTGAATCACAGCTCTACTTCTGGATTTTGGTGGTTAATTGGGGATAAGATCCTCACAGACTTTTCTGCTTGTGGTTGGTTTTGAACTATGATCTTCAGATCTCAGCCTCCTGAGTAGCTATAATTATAGGTATGAACCACTAGCTCTATCTATTAACTAACAGTTTAAAGTTTTTATTCATACTCCCCATTTGGTTGCACAAGACTTCTAACTCCCTTACAACTCCACTGGACATCTCCCAAGAATACAATTAGTATAAGAGGAAGAAGACAATGTGTAATATTTCAGCTATAATTCCTTCATAGTGTCTGCCACATTCTTTCTTCTGCTTTGTTCCTATTGGAACACCAGAACCACTACAAGGAGCCTCACAGTTGACCCTTGAATATGGTACCAATTATAGGAAGTTGGCTTTTTGTCAATGATTCTATCTCCTAGTGCTTACAAACCACTACTCCTTGTGGAACCTGAGCAGTGTGGCTTCATATAGAACTTGAGATAAAGCACTTTCTACAATGGTGTACCAGGATTTGGTATCTGGATTCTAGAGAAATATTGCTAGTTCCCAGTTTCTCAACAAAATGACTCCACTCACGAAAACCACTGAGGCTCAGACTTTTCAAAAGAGTAGAGTTGAAGACAAACCTACTTTTCTCCTTTGAATCTGGTTCCCCATCTTTTCCCTTTTTACCTCAGTTACAAAACAAATTTCTCTCTTCCCTTCAAGTATACAGCTGGGCATCTGTGACTTCAGCTTGTGGATCCTAGCTACTCAGGAGGCTGCGATCTGAACAGTTCAGTTCAAAGCCAGCTTGGGCAGGAAAGTCCATGCAACTCTGAAACACTTGACTCCAGTTAACCACCAAAAAATCCGGAAGTAGAGCTGTGGCTCATGTGATAGCAACATTGAGAATCAAAACAAAACAAAACAGAAAAAACAAAAAACCTCAGGGACAGTACATAAGCTCTGAGTTCAAGTTCCAGGGCAGGCGTGCATGCACACACGAGTGCACGCGCCATAGCAGAATACCAGAAAATGGATAATTTACAAAGAACAGAAATGTATTTCTTATGACTCTGAAGAGTGGGAAGTCCAAGATTGAAGCACTGGTTCTCAGTGAGGCCCTTGACCTATTGCTGAGTCATTCAATGGCCAAAGACAAAAGAGCAAGAAAGTATAAGTCAAGAGAAGGAAAAGGAGACTGAGCTCATCATTATGTCAGGAATCAACTTCAATGATCACTAACCCACTCCTAACATAGTGGCATTAATCCTTTCTTGCTGGAAAAAATTTGGTGAACAGACAACCTCAACACTGTCGGATTTGGGATTAAGTTCGTATTACACGGACTTTGTGGGGGAGAGTTCTATCACTACATAACAAGTATACCTTTAGCTTCAATTGCCAATAAGCTTTTCCTATCCTCACTTTCCTATAAGCTTTCAGCAGCTGCCTCCACAAAAATCTAAATTTCTATGACATTCAAGAAACTTTAAGCTTCTAAGTTTTCAGCCTTTCTAGCCTTTCCACCATGTCTGGTTTTAAAATTACACCCAAGCCGGGTGCTGGTGGCTCCTAGCTACTCAGGAGGCTGAGGTCTGAGGATCACAGTTCAAAACCAGCCCAGGCAGGAAAGTCTATGAGACTCTTATCTCCAATTAACCACCAGAAAACTGGAAGTAGCACTGTGGCTCAAGTGGTAGAGACCTCACCTTGAGTTGAAGAGCTTAGGGACAGCACCCAGGCCCAGAGTTCAAGCCCCACAACCAACCAAAATATACACCCAAATTTAAAGTACTTATTTAGATAACACTGTACTTTTTATACCTAAGTCTGTATTAGCTATCTACTGCATATGACAAATTACCCTAACACTTTGAAGATTACCACTACAAGTATATATTGATTGGTAGTTTCCATAGGCCAGAACTCCTTGCACATATCAGCTGAGTACCTCTGACTCAGACTTCTCACAAAATTACAGTAAAATGTTGGTCAGAAGTAAAAGCTCAACTGGAGAAAATCTAAATTCACATGGCTACTGAAAATATTCCTACTTGACATGTAAGCCTATCTATAGGGTAGTTCACCATGAGAAAGCTGTCTTCCCTGGCTGAGGCTTACAATCTAGGGCACACCTTCCTGCCCTCAATACTTCTGCAGAAACTACATCTCAAACAAGAGATATAACAAAATGAATATTCATATGCCATTTAACTGTCTCTTTTTCATTACCATATATTAGCTATACAAGGGAGGAGGTTTCATTGTAAATTTCCATGCATGCATACAATGTATTCTAATCTCCTCACCTGTATTGTTCTCCCTTAGCTTCTCCTCTTTTCTAATACAATTTCAACAGGATTTTTGCTCTATTTTCATACAGTTGACAATCAGTTTTAGCCACATTCCTCTACTTTCACTCTTGTTAGCCCACCCCCCTCTTTCTAGTACCCGCCCTCCACAACAGAGCCTGTTCCTCTCTCCTCTTCCTCAAACCCTATATTGATGAACGGTGTTCAATGAGGTTTCTTTATGCTGTTTTCATATGTCATTGCAGTGTATCTCAAAATTATTCACTTTTTTGTTTTCCTTTTCTCCTCCTAAGTAGTACTCATGTTTTGTTTATCCATAGATATAATAATGCCCATGAACATATGTATAACTTTTAGGTCTAGCTTCTACATATAAGTGAAAGATAGGATATTCTGTTTTTGATTTTGTCTCATCTCACTCAGTAGGATGTTCTCTGGTTCCATATACTTTCTCATAGATAATATTATTTCCTTTGGTATGGCTGTGTAATATTTGATTGTATATATATATATATATATATATATGTATATATATATATATATACCATATCTTTTTTTATCCATTCATTTGTTGTTGGACACCTCAGTTGATTTTATCATTTAGATATTATGAATAGTGCTGTAATAAACATAAGTAGGTAGGTATCTTTTTTTCTATTGATTTACCCTTCTTCAGATATATAAGATATATGCCCAAAAGTGCTATGGCAGGGCTATATGGTAAGTCTATTGCTAGTCTTCTGAGGAACTTTACACTAATTTCCATAGCATTTACACTAGTTTACATTCTTTTTTTTTGTCAGTCGTGGGGCTAGTTTACATTCTTATCAGCATTTAATTCAGATTCCTTACATTAGGTTGCATATGGACTTATTTAAAATAAGTTATAGGGGCTGGGAAGGTAGCTTAGCAGTAGAGTGCTTGCCTTGCATGCATGAGGTCCTGGGTTTGATTCTTCAGCACCACATAGACAGAACAGGCTAGAAGTGGCACTGTGGCTCAAGTGAGCTGAAGAGATGAGGACAGCACCCAGGCCTAGAGTTCAAGCCCCACGACCAATGAAAAAAATAAAACAGTTTAAAATGAGTTATAGTAAACATGCTTATGAAGATGCTGGCACCCTGGATCGTACCTGTGCCACTAGCTACTTGGGAGGATGAGATCTGAGGACTGCCGATCAAAGCCAGCCTGGGCAGGGAAGTCCATGAGACTCTTATCTCCAATTAACCACCAAAACGCCAGAAGTGGAGCTCAAGTGGTGGAGTGCCAGCCAGTCTTGAGCACAGAAGCTCAGGAATAGCACGTAGTCCCTGCGTTCAAGCCCCGGGACAGGCATAAATAAATACATAAATAAACAATTTAACAATAAACTGCTTAACTGCCTTCCCAATTGCTTCCTTGTTGCAATTTCTGAACCTGGTCCTAATTATATTAAAAATAATATTATTTCCCTGTCTCCTCACCTATCTCTTCTCTCACAGGAACAACACCCATACTGATATCCTGAGCAAGAGTGACTGGCAACTACTTATATACATCTTATCATTGCAGGAATGGAACACAAGTGTGAGGCAGCTGGAGCAGTAACAGTAAAACCAGCAACAGAGCCGATCCCATGACAGGGGTTAGGAGTGGTTATGGGGGTCATCAGCAGGAGCAGTCATCACAACTGCAGTGGCAGAAGAAAGCTTCAGGGGTGTTAGAGCAGGCTGTTAATGCTTCAGACCTGAATTCAGAATAAGAGTTATAACATCCTCTTATTGGGGTCTGTCAACTGCCCTGGGCAGCCTTGAGACATAGAAGCCCATGCAAAACAACAGCTGTCTAAGGCCTGGGTCCAAGCCTGGAGCATTGGAAACTGAGGTGCTGCTGTCCACTATCATCTAGTCTTACAAAAAAAAAAAAAAAAAAAAAAAAAAAACAGCCAAGGGCCTGGAGTAACTGGAGATGCTTTTTCTTACCTATGCACAATTTCTGTCTAGAACAGAAATACCCCAATCATCAGACATCAGTGGATCAGGAAAGTCTGAATAATAAAGTAAGCATAGAGTTACCAACCCTAGTCTCTAAAATGAGAATGGAGAGAAACCTGAAGTCCAGTTACCAGGA